TTCCAAATCGAGAGCAGAAATGTGAGCGAGTGCAGAGGAGAGCATCGACAAATTGTACCTACTTATTGTACAGACAAACACATGTAGATCGAGTTCTTGCGCCAACGACGCCGAGGATGAGCGTCGCCAACGAGAACGGAGTATTGTCGCGGCTGCGAGCTCTGGGGTGCCCTGATTGTTTATTCTTTTCCCTCTGGAAATGATAATATTGACTCGCTTGGCGGTCGGCTGACGGGCACCCCTGAACGACGATTTCGAAAATAAAATATGCACTCATACACACCGCATTCATGTACACATAAAACATGTATTTGTCTACACATTCGAAAAAAAAAAAAAAAAGGAGAGATCGGTCGATGCATCAGTGATTAGAGTACGACCGATGTGAAGTATGTATTTTGTCCGATAACTATGTTTGTGTACAATAATTGATGGCGGGCTTGGGGAATCGAAGTCTTCTTCTTTGGACTGCATATACATTATATATAAATATAGAAGTGATTTCTTTTTTTTTATTCAATTTTTTTTTTCTCAACGTTTAAGTTATGGGGTTACGATATAAGTGTACATTAGTTTCGCGAGCGAGATGCGTATTTTTTTTTTTTTTTTTCTTAGATAGAAATGTGATATATTTACTTCGTTTCGATTACTGTGCAAAATAGGTATTTTATTTGTCATTTTTTATTGATTACCCAAGTTTTTGAGAATTAGTTTTAGAGGGAGATTTTTCTAGCTTTTTTATAATAAAAAGTGCAATGTGGAGATTCTAAGCGCAAGTTATAAATTGCACAACGTAAACTTAAGTCTATATACATATGGATTAAGAAATATCTACGTTGTCATTTTTAGTTTTGCGAACATTAGAAGCTTGAATTTTAATTTTTTAATATGTATTTTTTTTGTACCACTGTAAATTTTTTTTTTTTACTCTGCTGTTAATGTACAATAATTCATCAAATTACATGATTTTTAAGATAATTTTTTACTTTAAGATTATATATTCATAATCCGTGTGTTAAAACTGGATGTCACGATGAAAAGTTTATTTTAATTTGTAAAGATTTTTAATTTGATAAATTTGATAAAATAAAATTTTGTTAATTTCTTCACCCATTTACTACATGAATATTTCTCGAAACACGCACTGTAGTTTAAGCAATACTACTTATAATTATAACAATAAAAAGCTAAAGACTCGTAGCTAATAAATAAAAAGAAAAAAAAAAGTAAAAAGTCGATACTACTATTAAATGTAGTAATAAGATTGTAATGACTAAGTCTTTTAAAGGATACGATTCGATTCCCCGATTAATACTACAAACATTGAGTTTTGATAGTGAAGTATTGTTGGTACGCCACTAGTCAAGTGTATGCCGTTTTTTTTTCTTGGCCCTTTTTTACATATACAGATGAGACAACATTACAGTGTGGTTATTACAGAAGTATAATTTTGCACAAGCTTTCCAATAAGAACGAAAAAATGCTAAAATCCATGAGTTGGTAGAGACGTATCAATATCCGAACCATAAATCCGACGCCGGCAGTAGTATCTCGAGTAATATATACAAAGGATAGAGCAGCGCAAGACTGAAAGCTCTGCCTGCCCGTCGCGTGTGTCTATCATTGGAATTTCACTGCCGATATTCCTAATATTTAATTCAAGCGAAAAAATAAAATAAAAACAAGGGAACGTAAAAAAAAACAAAAAAAAAAAAAAAACGAGATAAGGCTGATCATATTTCGTAGGCGTGCCAGATCGCGCTGAGAAAGAAAAAAAAGTATTATCAGCTGTCAAAGTGCGGCCGAAGATTAATCGGAGCAGTTGGCAATACCCGAGAGAGTGATGAGACACCAACTTACAGATTTTTTTTTTTACAGAAAAAGGATGTAATGCGAGTTAAAATAAAATTGTATTGCCTACCATACTTAATTTATCAAGGATCGTTTGTAAAAAGGGATAAACTTAAAAAAAAATTGAGTTTTGATATATTTTAAACAGTGTCTCTTCGTAACTCTCTCGAGGGTCATCGAGTCGGAGACGTCAGGGGGTGATTAAAAGCCTACTACATACAATTACCGTAGGACTTGACTATAGACAAATAAGAATAATTAATAATGTAAGAGAAGAGATCGACGGGTATAATATATGTAAGATGCGCATTTTTTGGGGGGCTGGGGGAAATACGTGATGATGATAATAAAGGAGTAAGTTTTGTCGAGGTTGGGTGGATTAAGGCAGAATCGAGTCTGAATTTTTGCTCCGAAACAAAAGAAAAAATAATGATAATTATAATGTGTGAACGCACCATGCCTGCTATTGACAAACAAAATGTTTGTCTGCCACTATTTTACTAATAGATATAAATATAAAAATATGAAAAGAGGATCTTCATTGATCGTGCAAAGCATGGAAATTGGTGGAAAACCGGATACTATTTGTTGCGAGGACCATTGCATGGTCTCGCGTTGTTACCGAGTTACACAATGGCACATTCAAATTTCACGCAGTCGACGTTCAATAAAATGTATATTCACACAATAAAGTTTTTTTTTTGTTTCTCATCGACATGCTCTTTTAACTACCGACGTGAACTTTATGTAATTTACTTATGTTACGGTTCGGGATTCCTGATCTCATTGTAAAGTTTTAATCGCATTAATTTTATTCCAAACTGTACATGACAAATCGATTTTTTTCTTTTTCGCGAAATTGACTAAAACTTAGAAGAATGAAATTTTTCCTAGGATCTCTAATGGAACGATTTTAACGATTTTGTGTATACGCTTGCCTATTTATAACGTTAATTAATAAAAACTTGAATTTCTACCTTTTTTTTTTTTCAATGCACATCACTTAATGTCAGCAATCGACAATATAATACTAATGTACTTCGAAAAAGTTTCACGTCGATGGTTACAGCTCAACAGTGTGATAGTTGGTAATATGTATAAATAATGCAAAACGTCGATCTCAATTGTAAATACATGGTTAGTACGTTTTAGGATCGGTGAGTAGGCTGAGAAAAATTGGTACAGACAAACGATTTATCGATGGAAAATCATATTTTTTTTGGACGCCCAGTGTGAAAAGTTCAATTTCTCGTAAATCTGGCTTGCCTGTAAAAAGCACTCTATTTTATTATTATTTTTTTTCACTAAAACAAAGGGTTCGCTCACGATAGTTTGTGAAAAGCACAGCGTTCAAGCATAAATTATTCTTTGTGGTGAAATAACTAGTTTTGGATCTACCATACCATGAGTTACTTTTGTTTCAAGAAAGCGTCAGAGCGTGTGATTTCTTATACTGTAAATAATTAATTGATTAATTCATTAAGTAAGATGTAAAACATTTAATATTGTTAGTTAATTTCTTTCAATCAATGTCTGTAAGATTCATTGATTTTATTAAATTAAATTTTGTAATTTAACTTGCGCATAAAATTCTCATGTACTATTTTTTATTTTTTTTTTTTTTATTTTCTCTTACATAATGTAGTCATGCGTCAAACGTCTTATTATTTTTAATACAATTATTATTGTTATTTTAACTATACTGAAAAACTTGCCTTAATTTGTTTACGTTTAAATACGCGACGATAGTCGTATTATTGTTCATAGTCGTGACTTTTTTTACATGTTTTGACATAAAAGTAGTTGAGTTTTTGTAATATCATCGTCGATAATTATACTCACGATTATTTAATTACGATACAATATGATAATGTTCTTTTAAGACCGTAAACGAGAATGTAAATTATAAAATTGGATGTTAAAAAGCATTGGGTATTGTGTATAATACTTAACCACAGTGTAATACTTCGATTATGGGACACGATGCAGTGTTGCAAAAAAGAAAGAAAGGAAAGAATAGTGCGCCAGTGCAAGTGCAATTTTGCCGTCGTGCACGAATGTAAGGTAACATGTGTGCGTATCTATAACTTAAGTATATATGTTATATAAATGTACCTTCGTGCGTTAGCCGCTCGCGCGTGTTATCTTTATCGAATGCATGACATATGAATGCCTGTCGGCCTAATCCTCTAAAATGCTGTGTCTCTTTTTATATTACATATACCGATGTCCCAATTATAGATACATGCTCCTGAATTATCGTTTTTCTTTTATTTATTTATTTATACTTATCCTTCATTTTTACGCATACAACTACACATCTATCTCCGACCCTCCCAATCATCATTTCCACGGGTGAACCCACGAAAGTGTTTCGTCATAATTATTTCTGTGTATCTTTTTTAAAACTCACGGAAATTGTTTTCCGTTCGAGACACGATTTGTTGCTTTGTAACATTATGTTGTCAATAAAAGACCATAAAATTAAAAAAAATACGTACACCCATTTACGTTTAATAATCCTTTCACCATATCCTTATTCCGTGTCAGATGCAAGCTAAACGCTGCTTCATGAAGTAAGCAACTGGATGATAATGGCAAGTGCTTTAATAGAAAAAAAAATTCAATGCCTTCTTGTCTAATTGTTTAACAATGAATCTTTAGTAAACTTCAAAATTTTCGGCCAATCTTTAGAACAGTGCAATAAGTCATACTATTTTAGTATATTTTATGGGCTTACTATCAGTTTTTTAGAGGTACAAACAGCCAACACACATTGCAACGTCGTAGTATTGTAAGGCCTTGTATCATCAATATTTTTTTCGCTCTTAATGACTGTAGTTACAAAATAAAGCCTATACATAGCTCAGAATCAGCGTCATCTGAGTAATACTAGTGATTCTCGTTATTATCTCGCTATTTCTCGACAGCCACAATATTGAAAAATTATTTGCTTACTAAATGTGAGTTTCGCAAACTAAGAACACTTCAACATTTTTGTATTCATCTTTATGAATATAAGAAAAAAGTAATAAAAAAATAAGTTTATAATATTAATTTTTTAATAAAAAATAAGTTTCATTCTCGTACATACATTTTGTTCTTTTTAGATAAAAAAATATTTATTTAATGAAACACCGAATAGAAAACTACGGTTTCACCAATCTTTTGGAGTTCTTGGTTTTAACACTGTCTTCTGTAGGCACAGAGCGCTTTTTGTTTTTCCTTTTGTCAGTTGAATTAATTTTATCACAGAACACAATAGTCTGAGCCCAGCCAGCTAAAGGGCCCCACATCTCGCGTAGATAGGAGTTTATTTCTTGATGAATTTTTGGAGTGACAGTTTTTTGCTTACCTAAATGAGGCATGTAGTTGGCACAGGCAACTTGAAATATGTGAGTGTCAACGGGAATTGCTTCCAAGTGGCCGAGCGACATTAGACAAATACAATCGGCTACTTTAGGGCCAATTCCAGGCAAAGACATGAGATTCTCTCGGGCATTATCATAAGTTGAACCATTTTCTTTCTTCAACGATGAAAGCCACTCTCTCCCACCAAGCGTCACAAGTTTCTCTGCACTTTTGTGTATGTATCCTGCCCTGTATCCAAAACCTTCCATTTTCAGAACAGATTCTACTTTTGAATTTGCAAGAGCCTCTATTGTTGGAAAATCATAATAATCTTGACCCTCCAGTTCACATATTTTATTACCAAATATTCTACAAAGTTTTTCTACCATCCCAGATATCCTAGAAAGTTTATTGAAATTATTCAATTAAAATATAATTAATTTAGCCTAATGTAAATAAGTATTAATGTACCGTAAAATATTATTATTTGAACTGCATATAAAAGAGAATAGATTCTCAACAACATCTTGATTCAACATTCTAACGGTGCCGATTTCGTTGTAAGATGTTTTGAAATAACTATCTTTTTCAGACCAAACTTTGAGATGTTCTTTTAGTGGTACATGCAATTGAAAGTAGTTAATCAATGCATGATGACATTTTACATCCTTATGCAAAGACCCATGCATTGTGTATGTCAATATTTCATTAGTTTGTGATATTGTCCAGACAGAACTGTTGAAAACACCTCTGTAATTATTTCCATTTTTCTCCATTGTCCACCTTTTTGTAAACACAATATTATGTCATTAAAAAATTACTAGCTTATTGAAATTTTATCATAAAATATTTGTGTAAGAGAAGATTACAATTCATTCTTTATAAACAAAGTAACTTTTGATTAATAAAAAATAACGTAGTTGGTGAAAACGCAAGTATAAGGTGACAAAAGAAAAAGCACGTTTGACACAACCTAGTTTTAAATATTGATAGTGATTATAAATTACCGAAAACTTTGCCCTCCTTTTAAAGTAACTCCGAGATTAAGTTCTTCCTTGGTACAAGGTATAGAGCCGCTAATCTTTTTCATCTCCACACCACATTTTACTGGCACAGTCATTGTTGACACAAATTTCCAACTGAAAAATAATCTTAATTCGATACTGGCGACCATTAACAAATTCGACAAATAAAACGCTATACTTAACCAATGTAAACTAAATCAAAGCACTACAATTCAACCCGTTCATGATGAATCATCTGTGTACCAACAAATTCAGCCGTCACATCGTAGCGTGAAAATACAATAACATACGAATATGATACACCTACTTATATGATTTTGAGCAAGATTTTTCCGTTGGTCTTAAATATAATACCCGTCAAAATGTTAAAAATTGGCGCCTATTATTGGAAAAGTTGACTGGTAATTTTCTCAAGGATTTCGAAGGCTAATTTTTTACTGGGGAGAGTGGCTAGACTCTAAGTAAAATTTTTATAAGCCATATGAGATGAGTAGAATAGTTATGGTTTTGGAGGTCGACTTTCGGGTATAAAATATATTGTAAACTTGCCGCAAAGACCATAAGTAATGTCAACTATTTATCGTCAATTTATAAGATTATTGCGGCTGGTTTATAATTAATAAAGTGACTTTACTGTAAATAGCAATAATTATTTGGATCAGCGCCATCTAGCGGTCTTTATTTTTTGGCCAAAAGTGGCTCCTAAAATTCTCAATCAGAGCAATCAGGATTAGAGCTATTTAGTCAATTATAAACCAGCCGCAACTCATGATG